ACGTAAAATTAAGAGACTTTGTCGAATTGTAATTTTGTGTTTGTAATTCTGTACAGTTAATTAAGTTATTGTTAATTGTTATTGGTTTATTATATGTGGTTATTGTTCGGGACGAACAATATTAAGGAGGGGGCAGTGTTGCGTCAGTGAGTCACATGACTACAGTGACACAACGTTTCTAGAATTATCATGTACTTTGGCGAATGCTCTAGTATTTACTAGTAGGGTAGGCTGGTATATATAAGAGGGGAAAACGTGACACGGTAAGGTGAGGTTGTTGTGATGTGTGTATAGATAGTGAGTAACTGAACTGCAGTCGGAAGTATTGTTGACGTTCGTTGATTAGCGTTTGTTTTAACGCGATTGTTGAAGTTGAGTGTATCGGTAAAGTTATATTCGGAAAGAATAAATCAGTTTATTAAGTAAAGAACTTGTGTCGCAAGTTTCGTCGGAACGAAGTTACGGAAAAATCAATTAACAAACGGAGACGTAACAATACAATATTTTTGCACATAATTTCAAATTTCCAAGAAACTAATACTAAACAGGTGCAAAAATCATCAATTTAAAGTTTTAAAATAGTTTTTCCTTTAAAAGATGACAGGGTGCTCTTAATATTATATTTTTAATTTCAAATGTTACTTAACTTAAAGCAAAAAGTTTCAAAATGAAAGACTATTTTTCAATGCCTTTAGTTAAAAAAATGGATGATCTTCTTTGGCATCAAAGATATATTTTTCTCAACAATTGGAATTCTGAAATGGCTTGGTTATCAATAACAAAGTAGTCAATGATTACAAAATATGCAATGTCAGATTATTGCTCAAAATTGAGAAAAACTTATTAGAAAATTGCTATTTTTTGAAATCAAATATCAGAGGTATACAACTTTCAAAACAAAACATGTTTGTCTTATTGAATTTATTCAGTGCGACCTCTTATTTCTAATATAAGCAAATATAAAAGAAGAAATGAAGTAAAATAACCCTTACCAAGTTCATGTTACAATCTTAAAAACTGAAAAGGTAGGAATTTGAGTTATTTTGAACGTATCTTATATCTATTGCACTTTGAGTAACGTGTACTAATACTGGCCTAACTTAAGCATTTCTTTGATGTACTGACTGTGTACCATGATCATGAACCAGTTTTAAGCTCAAGAAAACATACATGTAGTAAATGTTCAATGTGGAATACAATTATTAAGAAGGTACAAGTACAATCTTTTCACCTTATGTATCAGCTGTTGGAAAACTGACCAAAATACAAATTTATCTCATTCAAGGAACATGTGTACTTCTCAAGTAATGAATGTAATCCACATTTTTTTTAAGTAACTTTAAGTATTAGTACTTGTTAAGTACTTATACATAGTCACTAATGTGGTTAGATAGTAAGTACGTGAACCTAATGTTCTCCAAAATGTACCCATTCTTAGTCAAGGATCTGATGTGCATCATCATTGACCAAACAGTAACAAATACTAACCTAATATCTATATGATAACGGTGTTAGAAAACTTTAATAATCTACCAACTTTTTATCTATTCTTTAATAATATTTGATTTTCTTTTACCCATATAAAAATAAAATAATTTGTTAATCTGACTTTTGTTTTATACAGGGGTGAAATTCTGCCAGCATTCACTGGTACTGAGTACCAGAACTTATTTTTAAGGCAGTACGGTACTAGTACTGGAATTTATTTGAGCTGCTTTGTCATTTTTTGTGTTTACATGTTCACCGTTTTTAGAACTTCACTCCTGGTTTTATACCAACTGTATCAACATCTATTTAACATGCGAACATCTTTACTTGTATAAGACAGTAAGTATTTATTGTATACGTATGTTTTCATTTCAGGTACTTGAAGTCC